TGTGAATCTTCAGAAGCATCATTTATAGAATGCTAGGTCTATCTTTCAAATAAAAAAAATACTTTATTATATTTCTCAGTTTTTCTAGGAGCTCAAGGTAGTTTTCATGGAATCTCCATTTTATGCTGCAATAAAGATAGTGAGATAGGCTGGGCTGAGAAAAGTTGACTGACTTATAGTCAGTGATTTTTGAGCCCCTCCCAGTCCAAGTTCAATGTTATAGTCACTACACCACCTTGATTGTGTCGGCCAACAATAACAATAACAATGATGTTAGGAGCTTGAGCTGATGAACTAAATTTGCACATGGCAAAAAATGACAGTTCTTTAGAACTATCATTTCTTTACATGATGTTTTCATAAGGTTTACATGATGTAAATGTAGACATATTATCTTAGGAAATGCTTTCTTCTTATTGCATACATACTGATTAGCCTTTTCTAAAATAAACAGATTTTTTTCAAATCTAAAAATCTGCTTAATATTAGTGGAGGCCATGTCCTTCTTTAAAATTCAGCAACTATTCCTAATCAAAATGAATTATTAAATACTGCAATCCTATATGATTCATTGTTTTTAAGACTCATGGCAAAAACTGAAATAAAACATTTTTTTTACTGAGAGTTAGGAAAGAAGGACTCAGATGTGGAGGGAGGAACAATGCCAAGTAAAATACACCCAGCTGCTAACTCATAATGGCTTTACCTGAGTGTCCTTCTCAAGATGGGCCTTTTTTAGTTCTTCTTTCACAGCCTCTATTTCCTGTTCCAAAGCCTTTTCAATGACAAAACATACAAAATTGTACAATGGAGATCACACAAAATGAGTATGTTGCAAAAACAAATTTGACTAAAATACAGTGTAGGGGCAAATACACGCACAATTTAATGCCACAAATAATGGAGCATCAATATCCAAATGATCCAGTACTTACCCCAAGATTTTTTTCCTTGATTGAAACTTTAAGGACTTCAGCTTGAAGCAGTTCCTCCACAGATTTGATCTTTCCATCTTTTTCACTAATTCTTTAGCAAGACATAAAATTGAAAATGCAGATATAAAATACATTTATTTTAGAAAATAAATTTTAAATATATAAATTCTTGTACAAGGCGAATAATAGTTTAATCAGGAAGTAGTTTGTAAATGCCAGCTGATGGAAAACAAGCAATATTTCTACAACAGTAACTGGATTTAATATGTACAATAGCAAACAAAAATCTAGATATGGAAGAACAATATTTATTCACTTAATTTCTAATAGTAACAAAATGCAAACATTAAGAGTGTATTAAAATTAAAGTCATGCTGCTACTTACACCCTTCGCAGGTCTTCTACCAAGGATGCAAATGATACCTTTGGAAGGGGGAAAAAGATGAAAATGTATTAGCATTTAATAGGAAAGACTCAAATCGCTGAATGATGCTTCAAAGGACAATAATGATTACCTGGCACAAATAGTAGTTTTATTAATTAATTAATTCTTTTATTGATCTACTAAGAGAAATTAATATTAGAATTACAACTGTATTTGTAGTATTGTAATTATAATTACAAATTAGAAAACAAATTAGCTCTATTATTTAATCAAATTAAACAATAGTATTTGGCATCTACTGATAATTTAATCCTAAACACAACTTGCAAGCACAGTTTAGCTCCCTAGATTCTTTGTGAAAAATATTGTGTATGTCACATTGTCACTCTAGTGGCATTCCACCGGAATCCAGTTTTCCCTCCTCTGTGATTTTTGGAAGCAGTGTATTAAGAATGATAGGCCTATATCCTACCACCAAACAATTTTATTTAATATAGCCTGGTGTCCGACATGAACTTACATTCCAAGGGTAACCCTTAAGCACAGCTTAGCTTAGAGTACAAATTCTCTGCCTGATCACATTAACTAGTAACTGGAGTACTGTGCCATCCTCAGAATGTCAATAATATTTTAATGTATGTAATCTTCTACATAAAAGATATAGTATAGATTCTAGCTGGCCTTTGGGTGGGATATAGTAAAGCAAGATGTGATAACAGATTTCAAATTAGAGTAGCAACATTACAATCCAAAAGTTTCAAGTAAAATCCTCCAGACACACAAAAAATATTTTTATAAATCAAATATATAGACCAGGGGTCCCCAACCCCCGTCCGTGGACCTGCACCAGGCCACAGCATGCCAGCAACTGGGCCGCACAAACAAGCAAAGCCCCATCCGTGGAATGCATGCAGCACACGAAACCATGCTCTCTCTGGTCCACAGAAAAATCTTTCTCCACAGAAGCAGTCTCTGGTGCCCAAAAGGTTGGGGGCCTCTGATACAGACTACTTAACTGATGGTAACTTTGGGTAGTGTACAAGATAAGAACAATCAAAACAATGTAAAACAAAGGAAACTGGTATTCCCACAGGGGACTTATTTCCTAACCTAGCATCTGGAGGCAAAGCCAGATCTTCAAAGCTAATATAAAAGAATACATTGTCATGGCATCACAATTCTCCAGTGGGATACTGATATGATTGGCAGGATACTAGTAGATGGAAAACATTATACTTATAATCACCAGCAATCAATTTGAAGATTTTTTTTAAAAAAGTTCTGATAAGACATACCTGTTCAGTTTGTACTTTCTGAAGATTTTCAACTTCATTTTTCAGGGATAAGTTGTCTGTTCTTAATGTCTTTACAAACAAAACAGTTTCTATATTGAAGAGTTGCAATATTGCTACTTATCTTTAAATAATAATAATAATAATAATTAATTAAATTATATGCTGCCCAGCTCTCAGTGACACTGGCCAGTTTATAAATTATTTAAAACATTAAAACTAGACATTAAAAACTACAAGAAACAATAAGAGTAAAAATGGCAGGATGACGACTGTGGGAAATAAAACAACTTGGATCAAAGTCATCTTCAGCAAAGGCCTAGATCAAGGGTAGGCAACCTTGGCTGTTTTATGACTCGTGGACTTCAACTCCCAGAATTCTGGGAGTTGAAGTCCACGAGTCATAAAACAGCCAAGGTTGCCTACCCCTGGCCTAGATGAAGAGCCATGCTTTCAAGTCCCTTGGAAACATCAGTAGGGTGGGGGCCATCTTGGGGGAACCTCATTCCAGAGGACAGGCATTGCGACAGAAAAGATATCCTTCTTCAGTCCCCATAGAGCAATGGTTCCCAACCTTTTCTATATCCTGCATCCCTAGAACGCTTCTGATATATTCTCGTACCCCTTACAAAAGTTCCAAATAACAGCAACGAATTATGCATATATACTATAATTTTGAAAACCAAGTTTTCGCACCCCCTGGAATATCGTCTCACACCCCTCGTTGGGAACCCCTGCCATAGAGAGTGTTACTTAAACACACCAATCCTGCCAGACTGAATTGGTCAAGCAGATATAATGGAACATAGATACACCCTCAAAAATAACAATAAATTTAATATAAATTTAATTAAATGTGAAATGTAAATCCTCAGTACGGTTTTGACAACCTTTTATATTATTATTATTATTATTATTATTATTATTATTATTATTACTACTACTACTACTAGTAGTAGTAGTAGTAGTAGAAGTAGTATTTATCATCATCACCAGAATAATATTCTAATATAGAAGAATGCTTTACAATTTTTCCCTGAACTCTTCAAGACATACCAGTGCTTGGCACACATATCAAAGATTAAATATGTGTACCACAAGGGATCATGAATGACACCTTCATATTTACGCATTCCAGCTTGACAGTCTAAACTGCAACTCAATGACACAGTATCAAATGGCACACTGATGTCTTCAATACAAAAATCTCTGAAGGCCTAATCCTATTCCAGCATAAAGAATAATGACATGTCTTAATTCTCTTGGCAGAAAAGAGGGGATGGGAATAAAAGAAGAGATTAGTTATCTGTAAATGCAATTCTTTGAGTAGTCATCTGTGGATACATATATGTGAGTTATGTGTCACACAGAAGTTCATTCCAAACCCTACAAAATCCTCCACATATACTATGCAATTTGGCATGGCTAGCTGAAGTATATGAAATCTTACACAAGTAATCCATGTGACATTCATAAAGTCATTACCTTTAATTCGTCCTCCTTATTTGCCATTTCTATGAGCCCAGTTTCAAGGAGTTCTTCAACCGTCTTTATTTTGTCATCCTTATCTGAAATACTGAAGCAGAGAACATGTACATTGACAACTATTCAAAACTGGTTAAAATAATCAGGATGGTAACTATGCACATTTCCTCAAGGAACGTTTACCACTGAACAGTCTTAACAGAACCAGCTGTAACATAGCCTTAATTCCTCAGAATATTACTTCATCCAGAAAGCTCCTTCCCATCCTACTTTCTCAAGTTCTTTTGGAGACTCACACTTAACTTTGTGAAGGTGGATGGAAGTAATGATGTTGCCTTTCTGATGTCTTTCCTTCTTGTTTATTGTGAGGAGGGGAAGAGAATTGGATTTTATTTTCTTTTTTTCACCAATTATCTTAAGCCTATTTTAGATATACATGAGGCTATTTTTACATCTGAAAATAAGAAAAAAATTGTGCAGCTGGAATTTGAAAGCATTATCAGTATAATATTGGGGGATGCAAACTTAAATTTCAGCAGCCACAATTTACCAATTTCTGCTTTGCACAGAAATGTCAAGGATGGAATTTCAGAACATCTCTATGCCAAGCCCTATATTTCAGAAATCTGTGGCAGATTTATACCAAATCTATAGAGATTTATACCAAGGTAAAATTGAAAAATGATTAGGAGGTCATTTACTTCCCCCATTCCTTACCTTCTTTCCAGTTGCTCCAACAATTCTTTGTTAGCCTAATAAGTAAGAAACAAAGCAATAAATGTTAGCCTACAACTTTCATCCTAAGATATTCAGCTGCTTGGAATCTAAATGTTTACATTCACTTAAAGCCATGACACAAAACCCACCCCAGATATTTCAATATCATTAGCTGAGCATTCTAACGGAGTCTGCCACTGATTTGTTAAGAAGAGGGGGCAGCGCAGGGAGGGAAAAGGGCAGTTTTGTGGTAATCTAAAAAATAAAGATAGTCTGTTTCTTTCACTTTTTCTTTTCTGGTGTTTGTCTAGAACCAAGCTAGTTGAGAGATGAAAGTAAAGTTCTTGATGTTCTTGGAGTTTGGCTGTTTGCTTGCACAATGTTCCACTACCAACTGGATATCATAAGAGTGCAGAAATTAGAGTCATCGATGCCACCAGTAACAGTGTGCAAATCTGCCCTTTCTCGGGTCTTCCTCAATTATACTCTTGCCCATATGCAAAACTGAGTTGCAAACTTTGTGGTACCTGACTTAGTTCTTCTGTCTCTATAATATAATAAGGCCATTGTGAGAGAATCTTTCCTTGGCACTGCTCCCTACACTATCTTGCTATCTTTCACGACTGCAATTCTAAATTTTATCAATCTTTAAAAAAAAAAAAATTCAAGACGTTAAAAATTAGCAGAGATCTACTCTGAGCCTTCTCTAGCACTTCTTTGAATACAATCCATTTCTTATTGTAGTGATAATAATTACAACAACAAAATAGATTAACTGAAATTACTGGTGTCCAAAAATTGTCATTCAATCCAGCGATAAGGCTGATCTAGGTATTCTTCAAGCCACATACCTTTCTAATTCATCAAAGCAGATATTTAATTACTTAAAATGTATTTATTCAGCTGCCCATCTTACAAACGTGATTCTGAGTTGCTAGAAAGAATTAAAAATACAAAATACAATATACACATGTAATTTTTTAAAAAAATCCCACCCAACTAAAATGGCTCCCCAAAACACCCTACATTAATAATGTGGGTTCAGTGACTCTCTTGACTCCAAATATTTGAAAATGTTTCCTAATTTTCATTTCTGCAGAAATCTGAAAACAAAACGCAGACTGTTATATGGCTCTATATGAAGCCTCACAATACATTCTTCTTCCACGCACTTCTATAATTTTGTATTCAGACTATTACATACTGAGAGAATATGGTTTTATGTTTCCTGTAATATGTATTTTTAATTACATATTTTAAAAATATTTTCTCCCTTTAGAATGTTTTTCTGAAACCTCTGTTTTCCATAATTATCCGCAAGACACCAGAGAACTTCAGTTATTAAATAAATAAGAAACAAAAATTAGAGTATGAGGGAAACAACAGCAAGTTTTCAAGTGTAGGGAAAACCTTTCATATACAGTAATATATTCCAGATTCAGTGTAGGGGAGGGTTGCCTTTAGTAGCACCACTACTAGTTAATAAAGACCATATTTCTCTTTCCCTTTTTACTAGTTGTAGTCTTTTACAATTTTGATCAAACAAATAATGAGAATTATTCCAAATAGTAGCAATTTGTTTCATAAATTGAAGTGTTCCCTAGTAAGTAGAATTCTATCGTAACATACAACATTATTTAATATTATATTTTTCTTGATGAAAGAAACTCAGAAGATTTTACAACATATTTGATGTGTACCAAGTATCCTATACTATTTATACAAAATCAACAATAACCAATTGCATGCCATCAAGTCAGTATTAACTCTTTAGCAAACATGTAGACAGATTTTTTCTAGGATGACCTATCCCCAACCTGACACTGAGATCTTTCAGGAGGGAACCCATGCATTCCATAGTGATTGAAACGCCTACATGTTCTGCATAAGAAGCAATCAATAATAAGCACCTAGATCTTTGGTCCATTTCAGCTTCAGCTATTTTCAGTCAACAATCTTTTAAAATCAAATCATCACAGATCCTTTAACATGGGTGGGCACTCCAGATATTCTGAACTACAACTCCAATATCTCTCCTCAGGTATGTTTGCATATTTACCATATAATAGCCAAGTAGTTTATAGTTTAGCACTGTGGAGAGATGAAAAGCATTATTGAAAAATAGTTTCAAAAGTGTGAGGTTAAATAAAAACAGATGTAAATAAAAGTTTTTCCCCTTTATGGATTACTGCCTTGTCGTGGCGAAGGGGCTTGCGTAACTCAATGAAGCTATAAGCTATGCCGTGCAGGGCCACCCAAGACGGACAGGTTATAGCAGAGAGTTCTGACAAAATGTGATCCACTGGAGAAGGAAATGGCAAACCACTCCAGTATCTTTGCCATGAAAACCCCATGGACAGTACTAAAAGGCAAAAAGATATGACGCTGGAAGATGAGCCCCTCAGGTCAGAAGGTGTCCAATATGCTACTGGGGAAGAGCAGAGGGCTAGTACTAGTAGCGCCAGAAAGAATGAAGCGACTGGGCCAAAGCCGAAAGGACGCTCAGCTGTGGATATATCTGGTGGTGAAAGGAAAGTCCGATGCTGTAAAGATTTTTTCTCCATAGGAACCTGGAATGTAAGATCCATGAATCAAGGCAAGCTAGACGTAGTCAAAAAAGAGATGACAAGACTGAACATCGACATCTTAGGAATCAGCGAACTACAATGGACAGGAATGGGTGAATTTAACTCAGATGACCATCAGGTATACTACTGTGGGCAAGAATCCCTCAGAAGAAATGGAGTAGCCTTCATAGTCAATAAAAGAATAGGAAAAGCAATACTGGGATACAATCCTCAAAATGACAGAATGATCTCTATTCGAATCCAAGGCAAACCATTCAATATCACAGTAGTCCAAATCTATGCACCAACCACTGGTGCTGAAGAGGATGAAATTGACCGGTTCTATGAAGCCCTATAGCACCTTATAGAATTAACACCCAAAAATGATGTCCTTATCATCATGGGGGATTGGAATGCTAAGGTAGGAAGCCAAAAGATAACCGGAATAACAGGCAAGTTTGGCCTTGGAGTACAAAATGAAGCAGGGCACAGGCTAATAGAATTTTGTCAAGAGAATACGATGGTCATAACAAACACTCTTTTCCAACAACCAAGAGACGGCTCTACACATGGACATCACCAGACGGTCAACATAGAAATCAGATTGACTATGTGCTCTGCAGCCAAAGATGGAGAAGCTCTATACAGTCAGTAAAAACAAGACCAGGAGCTGACTGTGGCTCAGATCATGAGCTTCTCGTTGCAAAATTTAGGCTTAAATTGAAAAAAGTAGGGAAAAGCACTAGGCCACTCAGGTATGAACTAAATCATATTCCTGATGAATATACAGTAGAGGTGACAAATAGATTTAAGGAACTGGATCTGATAGACAGAGTGCCTGAAGAACTATGGATGGAAGTTCGCAACATTGTACAAGAGGTAGCAACTAAAACCATCCCAAAGAAAAAGAAATGCAAGAAAGCAAAATGGCTGTCTGAGGAAGCTTTGCAAATAGCTGAGGAAAGAAGGGAAGCGAAAGGCAAAGGAGAAAGAGAAAGATACACCCAATTGAATGCAGAATTCCAGAGAGTAGCTAGAAGAGATAAGAATGCCTTCTTAAATGAACAGTGCAAAGAAATAGAAGAAAACAACAGAATAGGGAGGACCAGAGATCTCTTCAAGAAAATTGGAGATATGAAGGGAACGTTTCATGCAAAGATGGGCATGATAAAGGACCAAAATGGCAGAGACCTAACAGAGGCAGAAGAGATTAAGAAGAGATGGCAAAACTACACAGAAGAACTATACAAGAATGAGCTTAACATCCCAGATAACCACAATGAGATGGTCATTGACCTCGAACCAGACATCCTAGAATGTGAAGTGAAATGGGCCTTAGAAAATCTGAGCAACAACAAAGCTAGTGGAGGTGACAGTATTCCAGCTGAGCTATTCAAAATCTTAAAAGACGATGCAGTAAAAGTGCTACACTCAATTTGCCAGCAAATTTGGAAAACTCAACAGTGGCCACAGGATTGGAAAAGGTCAGTTTACATTCCAATTCCAAAGAAAGGCAATGCCAAAGAATGTTCAAACTATCGCACCATTGCACTCATTTCACATGCTAGTAAAGTTATGCTTAAAATCCTACAAGCTAGACTCCAGCAGTATGTGGATCGAGAACTACCAGAAGTACAGGCAGGATTTCGAAGAGGCAGAGGAACTAGAGATCAAATTGCCAACATACGCTGGATCATGGAGAAAGCTAGGGAGTTCCAGAAAAACATCTACTTCTGCTTCATTGACTATGCAAAAGCCTTTGATTGTGTGGATCACAACAAATTGTGGCAAGTTCTTAAAGAGATGGGAGTACCAGACCATCTCATTTGTCTCTTGAGAAACCTATATGTGGGTCAAGAAGCAACAGTGAGAACTGGACACGGAACCACTGATTGGTTCAAAATTGGAAAAGGAGTCCGGCAAGGCTGTATACTGTCGCCTGCCTATTTAACTTATATGCAGAGCACATCATGAGAAAGGCAGGGCTAGATGAATCAAAAGTTGGAATTAAGATTGCCGGGAGAAATATCAACAACCTAAGATATGCAGATGATACCACTCTGATGGCAGAAAGTGAAGAGGAACTAAAGAGCCTCTTGATGCGGGTGAAGAAGGAGAGTGCAAAAGTTGGCTTGAAACTCAACATTAAGAAAACCAAAATCATGGCATCCGGCCCTCTCAATTCCTGGCAAATAGATGGGGAAGAAATGGAGGTAGTGACAGATTTTATTTTTCTGGGCTCAAAGATCACCTCAGATGGGGACTGCAGCCAAGAAATTAAAAGACGCTTGCTCCTGGGGAGGAAAGCTATGGCAAATCTAGGCAGCATTCTAAAAAGCAGAGACATCACCCTGCCAACAAAAGTGCGTATAGTCCAGGCCATGGTTTTCCCAGTTGCAATGTATGGCTGTGAAAGTTGGACCATAAGAAAGGCTGAGCACAAAAGAATTGAGGCCTTTGAACTATGGTGCTGGAGAAGACTCCTGCGAGTCCTTGGACTGCAAGGCGTTCAAACCGGTCAGTCCTAGAAGAGATCAACCCCGACTGCTCCTTAGAAGGCCAGATCCTGAAGTTGAAACTCAAGTACTTTGGCCACCTAATGAGAAGGAAGGATTCACTGGAGAAGAGCCTAATGCTGGGAAAGATTGAGGGCAATAGAAGAAGGGGACGACAGAGAATGAGATGGCTGGATGGAGTCACTGAAGCAGTAGGTGTGAATTTAAATGGACTCCAGAAGATGGTAGAGGACAGGAAGACCTGGAGGAACGTTGTCCATGGGGTCGCGATGGGTCGGACACGACTTCGCAATTAACAACAAATAAAAGTTTTAGAGAGGACACTCCTTCTTAAGAAAAATCCCACAGTTGAAAGAAAAGGAACAGGTACCTTTCATTCCTAGTAGAAAAAGGAATTTCATAATAAAGCTGATGTACCATTTTCCTACTTAAAGGAGGATATCCTTATCTGAAATTACAATGATCCCCAAAAATTTTTGACTGACTCTCTAAGCAAACGTACAGACAAAGTACTACTTATTGTAAAGCTCTTCTCCTGCAAGAAATGTCAATTTTGATTTGTGAATTAAAAGAGTTGTACTCTTCTTCCTTTGTAAGGCACAATATACTTACCTCAACAAAGCTCAGCCTAGTCTGAGGATCATGTTGCTACCCTGCATATAATACCGAGGGGACATTAGTAGAGAAGGTAGTCAAGCTGCTAGCAAGATGTACTGAAGAGTAGATGAACCAAATAATATAACTGTAAGCTTCCATGTACTGGGCTAGTCACTGAACAAGTTGAAGGAGGCCTTGACATGATTTATTGATTGATGAAAGATGTGACTGATTATTCTAACATTGTTGAGGTCTCCCTCATGAGTTTAGATCAGAATTGCAGAGCCCTAGCCTGATTACTTTGAGTTCCAAGAAGGCTATAATTTTTAATGACTCTGACAGCATCCAACAAGCTAAGCCTTGTGTCCCCTACACAAGTCTCCTAATCCCCAAAGGCTGGCATTGGCAAGTAGTATGGGTGAAAAAGCATACAATCTTTTCAAGGGCCTTAGACATCCATGACATAAAAGACTTTCAAATGAGATCTTGGTGGAATAAAATGACTTGGTCCAGTTGCTTCTCCTCTCAATAAGGAAAATGATGCCTACTGTAGGGAGTATGAGTGAGTCCTGGCCCATGGAACTGAGCCTTAGAGATGATCTAGGACTGCTGAATTTCAACCATTTGGCATGCATCACTGACCTGATTAATTCTTGTAAGGGAGGAGGGCCAAGCCTGCCAGAATACTTCAGCTTTGTTTCCAGAAGCTGCAGGCATTAAGCAGGGGCATCTGCCTCTTCTCCCAGTTGATGCAGAAGTCAAGGTATGATAAGCAACAGACTATCTTGCTCACTCTGTTAAAGAATGAGAACAGAGGAGAAGCCAATCTAAATAGCAGTAGATTTGAATTTTGTCCTAAGAGAGACACTACACATGCTACAAGGATCTTTATGTTGCCATACCAAATGGGAGAGCAGTATTTTGAGAATAATGGCCCAGTTCAAATCTCGAAAACTTCCAGAAGATGGGTAAATGAACATACAAACATGATTCTTGGAAATAAAAGAAAGCTAGCCAAAAGAATGGAACTCCAGGTTGCCACATGGAACTTACTGCCAGTGGGAATGATTCTATGACTTTGATAGCAAATAGATGGTTGATGGCTTGAAGCATCAGTAGGTGCTTTCTGGCATTTCAGGGAAAAACTTCATTAGCTATGTCACTGTACAAAACACTAGGTGCCTGAATATTAGAACAGTAGCACTAGGCAAATAAGCCAAGTCTGCCCACCACCAGACCATTGGTGATCTTGATATGTGGTGTCCATTTATAAAGAATGACCCTTAGATTCCTGCTGCTTCAGCTGATAATCTGACTCATGCCAATGAATTCTAGATCCTTGTGTAACTTTGGTTTTGGATAGGAAATGAAGGGAAGTGACCTTAGGCTAAGCAAGTTGCTATCTACTCTTCTTGTAGAAACAGCTGGAAAGGTTTCCTTGTTGCCCTTGTTTTCAGCCAAGTTATCATCTAATGATTTTCAAAAGAGTTTTCACCAAAAATGATGAAAGTTAATAGCAACTTCGACTGATTATTTATTATTTGATTTATACCTTGTCTTTCTCCTGTGGAAAGCACTCAAGGCAGCTAACAAATGTTAAAACAAAAACAGAATACAGAAATTTAACAAACTGATTCAGAAAACAATGAAATAAATAGCAAAATCATCTAATAAATTAAAATGCTATTACTGTGTGCCAAAAAGATGAGTCTCCGAAAGAGGTGGCATCTTCAAGAGGCCCCTCTACTGATCTTAATAACTAGGGAGATTAATAACCAGAGGTTTAGTCTGCCTTGGTGACCCTGCTCAATACACCTGCAGAGGAAATATTTGCTGCAGGGTTTGAGGCTACAGGAAATACTTCAGCCACTCTTGGAACTAAAAGTAGACCATCCAGGAAATATGTGCTCACATACTTCCTTCTCCACTGGCTATGCGATTTCTGATGTCTTTGAAAGCTTTTTTAGATTGAAAAAGTGAAATCCTCAAAGGATTCTTCTTTGCTGGGCTTCAAGATACGTCTTCTTCTTCTGGGTGTCCTCAAAGGCGGTTGTTGCCATGTGCGCTTGACTTTCTGACCAATTTCTTTGGGGGGTTCTCAATTCCCCTAAGAGATTGAAAATATATCACTCCCTTACATGGGGTGAGCACCATGATGTAAAAAAGATGTTGAGACTCTAGAGAAGAGCAACAAAGATGATTAGGGACTTGGAGGCTAAAGCATATCAGGAACGGCTGCTGGAATTGGGTATGTCTAGTTTAATGAAGAGAAGGACGAGGAGTGACACGATAGCACTGTTCCAATATCTCAGGGGTTGCCACAGAGAAGAGGAAGTCAATCTATTCTCCAAAGCGCCTGAAGGCAGGACAAGAAGCAACGGGTGGAAACTAATCAAGGAGAGAAGCAACCTAGAACTAAGGAGAAACCTCCTGACAGTTAGAACAATTAACCCAGTGGAACAACCTGCCTCCAGAAGCGGTGAATGCTCCAACACTGGAAGTTTTTAAGAAGAGACTGGACAGCCATTTGTCTGAAATGGTATAGGGTTACCTGCCTGAAGAGAGGGTTGGCCTTGATGACCTCCAAGGTCCCTTCCAACATCATCATCATCATCATCATCATCATCATCATCATCATTATTATTATTATTATTATTTTGGATCATCGCACAGTCAGCCAGATGTTCAGACTGGATTTGGCATTTTGTCTACCTATCGAGTCCTTACCCAGGACCTGGGATAGGCAGATATGGATGTTTGATGGTATTACAGGTATCGTCGCAGGATGGAAGCAGTTCCTAGTAAGGCCACCTTTTGCAATTGACTAATAGCAAATTTATCAATGCCAATGGTGTTCAAGTGGTGCTCCAGTTGTTTTGGGATTGCACCCAAGGAGACTATTACTATTGGTACTACCCTTGCTTGCTTTTGCCACAGTCTTTCTATTTCTATTTGTAGGTCTTTCTTCTTATTATTGTTGTTGTTGTTGTTGTTGTTGTCACATGATCCTGGGATACTGCAACTGTCATAAATATGAGTCAGTTGCCAAATATTTGAATTTTGATCACAACTACCACCTCTTCATAATTGTTAAAAAATACTTTGGGCAAGAGGGAAGGAGACCTACTTGGAAAGGCCATCAGGTCATCTGAAGAAGTCATAGTTTGGAGGATCAGTCCCTGAGAATGGTGCCCCCTATCACTGAAAACTCTCCTGATATGTCCAAGAAAAGTGATGGACATCCTGGGCTATTAGAAAAAGTAATAAGAAAGAAAGAAATAGAAAAAAATGAAGTTGAGTGATATAGGATAAAGGTTAGCTGGAAACTCTTGTAATGACCTGGTTACTACAGCAGGCAAGACCAAGGAAGTGGCTGGGAAGTTGTTGTATATTATTACAGGGCTACAAATTTCTTTGGCCTCCCATTGAAGCAAGAAAAGAAGCATCAAGGACACTCTCAGCCATAATAGGAATCAAAATTATAACATGCAATAATGTTCATTTTTACTCTATCAGGATAAAAGTTCTAAGAAATCAATGCAAAAAGGTCAAAAGCAGCATGTGCTTTCATAAAGGTTCCCTTCAAATTAGATAGTGGTAGCATTTCTAGCTGTCATTGCTTTTAGATCAGACCTTAGAAGAGAAGAGGCATGGGATAAAATAGCCTATTATGAGGAACATCAAAAAAAAATATTATGACTCAACATGTCTGCCTCTATTCCAAGCCTCTTTGTGTCAAAACAAGTCTAAATCTTTCTCCCATTGAAAGGCAAAAGGTACATGCCTATCTCTGTCCATCTCCACCCATCACTGCCCTCTTGGCTACCCTGCACTCTGTCACTTTTGCTGCCCTCTGCTCCTACAGCCCTGCCATCCCCCAGCTGACCACCTTCTTCACCCCCAACTGCCGATGAGGCATGCCTAACCTTTCTGAAGGAGCTGTTGGCCACATGCAGCCTTCTTGCAAAGCAGCTTCTTGAGAAGGTCATGCACAATTTGAAGAAGAGTGTGCACAGCATCAGAAGGCAACTGAGACTGCTAAAGGTTCCAGGTCTCTACTTCAGCCTCAGTACTGTCAAGACCACCATTGCTGCTAAAGAGTGTCCCTGTACAGGATGGCCAAAAGAGCAGAGATTGGGGGGGGGGAACATAGGTAGGTGGGGGGAGTTCAAGAGGAATTCTCTAAATGTATATTGCTCATTTTAGAAAAGTTTGAATTTTGAAGAACAGTTGTTTCAAATACTTTATTCAAAAATGAAAGATTATTCTGCATTAAAATGGGAAATACATTTATTTCTCCTTGAAGACCACTTTCAACAGTATCATATATACCACTAAAGGCTCTTCAGCATCTAAAAATGCCACCATGGGCTCTGTTGATAATAGGCAAGAAAAACTCAAATCTAATGTTTTTAGCAAGGTCACTCAGCAAGTTCACTCTCAACTAAACATGCCTTGTTTAATCTCTCAGCCCATCTACCAACCATGTATATAAAAACTAATGGTTGACAGCATGGAAAGTTATATTACACAAATAATCTTCTGGAAATGAATTAATGGTTCCATTTGAATGCTTTCCAATCCTATGTTTTTTATTAGGATAAAGTGTTTAAAAGGAAGCATGAGTAAGATAATAAAGCATTTTACAAGCCTGACACTGTTTGTAAACATCTAGCCAACCTAAAACATTCATTGAACAACAACACACTTTCATATATATAGAAACAAAATGTGAAACAGACCCGGGTACCTATTCTGTTTTCCCATAATTGCTTTTGTAGCAACACTACAAGATCCTATAACATCATTCACCGCATCAGAAGTTCATACTTCTGTTTATCTCATTCAGAAAATTGATAGCAGAAATAGCATTATGCAAAACCTATTTGGGGAACACTTTAGGTCCCTGCTAAACTCTCTTTACTTAAGTTGGGGTTCTTTGTATAAAGGAATTACAAAAGTGATTCTATCAGAAGACCAGAGCTCTGCGTGTCTCCCAAAAGTCCAAATTCCAGAACCACAACCATAAAGGTAAATAAAACTGGCCACCCCCATGTGAGACCCAGAGCAGCCTTCCTCATAGCTGAACTAAACAAGCCTTCCTTCTCCTGGTTCAATCCTAGTATGCACTTTCATGCCAAACTAGGGAGAAGAGGAGGAGAAAGAGGGTGACAAATTGGGTATCTCATCAACCTTGGTTATCTACAAGTTATTGTCTCTGTGGCCAGATATTAAATTCAGTGTCTCTTTTTTATACAAGTTCCATTGAAGCGACAAGCCAGTGGTGGAAGAGAGAAAAATAAAAGTGGAGGAGAAAAAACATAAATGAATGAATGAGGATTGGCATTGTGGGATTCCAAATTGTACCATCATTTCTTCTTTTGCATCCATATGTATTTGGGAGGTGTGGGCAGCTATCTGGAAGATGTGCTGAAAGTCTGCTAGGGACATAAGTGTCAATGCTGCTAACATTGGGATGTTCCCGCTTTGACAACTGATGAAAATGCAACCATTTTCTCTATTACTTTAACATGCTTTTTCTTATTTTAGAAATTAGGTGCAGCAGAGGGGGGGGGGGGTGGAATGTAAGCTCAGCTAGCCATAACATAACCGCTGTGGTGGGAACCCAAGGACAAGCTGATAATGTTTTGGCAGCTGTGGAGCTAAGGAGAAAGCCTACCCTTTAAGCTAATAATTTGGGAATGTGATTTATGACAGTTTATTGGGGGTGAGAATTGCACCTTGTTACTTTGTATCAGGGGGAAGGGAATTTAATTGTTGGGTTCTACTATGTAGTGCCGATATTCTGTTTCCTGAATAAAAGATTCTTTAAGGAAAACAATGCCTCAAAGTTCTTTTGATCTATCGGAACCATGACATTAAGGTCAATGAAAATGGAATGGGACAACTTGCCATGGCCAATTCACCATGGCCTATTCCCTGTGGTCAACTCGCCACGAGAAAACTCCCCATGGGACAATTCAATAAATACAAAAGTTGCATTAATTTTGATGGAACCGTCAATCCAGAAATACAAGAGTTATGTGGCCACCAATAATAAAAGTACTTGAATGAAACAATTAATACAGCATTGAATTGTCCCACAATGAGTTGGCCGCAGCAAATGGCCGTGCCGAGTTGTCCCGGACCTCACTGACAAGTACTTGGGGTAACTGATTCATTAGAAAGGGAATACCAATAGCTTTTTACAGTGGATGAGGCTGCTGCTCAGCATGGCAAGCCTGGTATTGTACTGCCATATCCAGACCATGTAATGTTTTTCTATGTCAAAGTAAAACTTAGTAAACATAAACTATTTATTTTGACTAAACAGAGAGTAAACATCCTAAATTATTATTATCTGCAGCAAAGTGTGCCATACCTGCTCAGAGAGGAGAGCTTGCAGTTTCTGAATTTCCAACTGAAAAGTTTTGTTTTGATCCTTTTGATCCTAGAATGTAATTGTCATATCATACTGTTAATCTGGAATTACAAACTTGGGGATGGTTCTTATCATTTTCTTTAAGAGGAATAGTATGAACAAATGAAGAAATGTTAAGTGATTCTTACTGGAACTGGTTTCTATTATCGTCTTGAAAAAAGTAAATTTGGGGGAAAGAAGCATCCAGAGACACAGCTCTTTATATGTAATATCCTCCTATTTCATTCTCTAAACATGATTTAATTTATCCTTAATCTAATGATTTTAAGATTACAATTTTCAAAACTTCCAGGTGGAATGGTCATTGGCAAGTAATTTCAAAGTGGGATTTTTAAAGGACAAACAATGAACTGTTTGTAACTGCAATTTAGCAGAAGTCTATTAACAAGATAGGATACTGCCAAAATGTAGGAAAAATGAAATAAATAATGAAAACAGAAAAGGGGCAAAATAAGATCGAAACTGCTTCACAAAGGGTAAGGACAGCCAACCTGGATTCTAGATATTTCAATTCCCATAACCCCCAAACCTGGTTAATGGACAGGGTTTTGAGAAGTACATAACATTTACTGTGTGACACATTCACATCTCATTTTGATAAAAACACAGGAGATAAAAATACAAAATATGAAATATATAACTTAAAATATTTATAAACAGGAAGCATAGATTAAAGGCATCAGAATGCCTACTCCTGGTTCAGGAACAGGGAAGAAATAAAGAAAACTAATGCTGAAGAACAGACAACATTTAACAACATTGCTACAATCATAAGCTTTTGGGCCATAGACAATAATCCAG